GCATAATCGCTGGTGCAATACTTCATGATCATAAAGATATTACGTGGCGTTTATCTCAGGTATATGATTATGTATCATCGTAGACAGAAAGAAAGATTGTCTGTAATTTTTGCCGCTAGTTTATGAAATCACAATACATTTACCACTGGTAAATATTATTATAAACCAATATTTTTTACTTATGTTTGCTATTTTTGTCAAGATATCAAAAATATTTGTGTTTTTTTATATAGGTCCTTTTTAAATATATGGCCATGTATATCAATTTCTCTTATCCAGATAGCATGATAAATTCTTTAAGTGTTCTTAAAGTTTTCTTCTTTCCTGAATTGTACTTCCTAAGGAATTCGTGGAAGAATACTATAAGAATGATTTAGGAAGTTACATGCACCATGATTGGAGGTTCCTCAGAACTTCTTAGAGTATTCATTTAGAATTACTTCAACTCAAAAAGATTTCTTCGGATTTAATAAATTTTATTGTATCCATACAAAAGAAAGATCAGAAAACTTTGGCGGCCTGGGGTGCTGCTAGCTCTTGTGAGTATCTGTAGATGTCCACTTTTAATGCCATATGAGATGAAAAACATCAGACTCAACTTCGGTTGGGATCGAACTCGGGTCTTCCCGCTTGCCAGACAATCGTTCTTTCCACTGAGCTATTTAAGACTTCATGTTTGAGATATCTATATACCTAGTGAAAAATGATTCGTTGATTGACGTCAAAATGATATCAAATTGACGTCGGTTTGACGATTTCAACGTGTATTTGATGTCATTTTGACGTCAATCAACGAATCATTTTTCGCTGGGTAGTATACTGTTAAAACTATTATAACTGTTATACTGTTATATATATTGTTCTAACCCTAACAGCACGGGGACGTACTGAGGACGTTCTGAGTAGATGCGCACATTGCGATCATCTCAGAATGTTCTCATATGTACTGCGATCGATTGAGTACGTTCTGAGTACTTCCCTATGTCTGGGGTAGCAGCTACTATAGAATTTCGCTGCGAATGTCGTGCGAACGTTCACAGCGATGTCAGCAGTCTCAGGACGGAATGAAAATGGGAAGGTTTCAGTACATCACGTATAGACGCACACACACATGTGCAGCTAGGTGCGCGCGTTCGTATATAGGTTAGGTTAGGTTATTAATTGGATATTTTTATTTCATTATAAATTTGTTTTTATTAATATAAATTCTTTTGCAAATGAATAATATACTATTTTATTGAGATTATTTATAACAGACTTTATAAACACAAATTATCTAATTGATTGCGGCTTCCGCGGCGTTCTCGGCCGTCGGTGAGCGACGTTTTCAACTACTTGGAGTCGATGGGAGCCAGCGATAGCAGAGAATCTTACATTAGGAACCTTTACTGCTAATGGCATCCTCACCTAAAACCAATAAGCAAATACTATGCGGCTTTGCAACCTAGGATAACCTCTAACTCTTTACTAGAATATTTGTATGAAAATTTCTACGAAATATTAAGAAATATTATGTAATTTATATGTAAAAATTGTTTCGCTAACTTTATTCAATATTTTATGGAATTAAAATTAAGGAAGAAAAAGGATTACCTTTGATATTAATTAGATCGATCAATCGATCTGCCTCGTCACTGCTCGTCACCACATTAATGGACGGTACTCACGCTACCGGAAATAGATCGAAACAGGAATGACGTATTAGATGGCGTTAGTATACGTACTGTTTCCGTATCTTGAGTCGGTACATGAGAAATACGCGTGCGATACAAATGCGTACGTATCATTTCAGTCAAACTTGAGAATGTACGCACGCGATAGAAAAGCGTACGTATCATTTCCGTATCCCTGAGTGAAATCTGCGCGCGAAAGAAAACCGAATAATACTATAAGTGACGTTCTAGCGTTCAACTTACAGATGATCGCAGTACAATGAGTACGAAAATGGGATGATTCGCAGTACGTCGCGTGCTGTTAGGGAACTGAGCTTCAAATGTAAGTAAAGCGCACTTTCAAATATGTAATTCAAAATCCAAAAATATATGGCTTTCAAATAATGCGATTGAGTTTGTTAGAACTATATATGGATTTTAGAAACATGAATACAAACTTAAGAATAAAATATACTTCGCATAAATATATTTATTATTGATACAGGTGAAAATTTTATATATCAAAAGTTATTTTAACACCAATTCCCTCTCTTTGCCCTATTATATAAAACTATATAATTAATTCCACAAAATATAAATAACTGCAAATAACAATAAATTAAACAATTTATATGTAAATATGTAAATTAATTATTATATACTCACTGGCATGTACGGAATAATTATAATGAAAGATTCATGATCGCTACCCTGATCAGGAGCTCGATTCTTGACGGTATGCGAATGAGATAACTCAGTCAAAGCTCGCGCATATTCGCGCTTCACGGTAACGCTTCTCGATCTTTTAAAAACGAGTCGTGCTCTCTCGCATCTTACTCTTTGTCTTTTCTTTTTCTTTTTCCAACTATAATTTCAAATTTCGTTTTTTAAAAATGTTAACCGATAAAGAAAGGATAATGCTATTTCTTTATCGAAAATTTGGAAACCATATTAGATCATACGAAGAAGTAACTGATCTACACATTCAATGCTGCATATCCTGATCGCAATTTTATTTTTAAATCCATCGTTCAGAAGAAAGTGATACGTTTTTACGAAACAGAAACAGTTAAAGACCAAAATCCTTTCAAGCCTCATAACTTTAAATATGCCTAATAAAAAAATACTTTATTATAGGTTTTTGGAAAGCTCTTGAAATAAGCTACAAGAATATGTAATAAAAACTGGGGGTCCAAAAAATAAGTAAAAAAATTCAATTTGACCTTCGTATGACCTTCGTCCTCCACCCAAAGTCAAATGTTTAGCCATCATTTAGGTACATTTTATTAAGCCCTACAACTTTGTTACTTACATATTTTTCGCTACAGTTGATCCTTTTCGAAATATTTGACCGTTTCCGGACTTTTTGCCAACCCTGTATATATATATATATATAGCCTCATATTTAGAGTTATGAGGCTTGAAAGGATTTTGGTCTTTAACTGTTTCTGTTTCGTAAAAACGTATCACTTTCTTCTGAACGATGGATTTAAAAATAAAATTGCGATCAGGATATGCAGCATTGAATGTGTAGATCAGTTACTTCTTCGTATGATCTAATATGGTTTCCAAATTTTCGATAAAGAAATAGCATTATCCTTTCTTTATCGGTTAACATTTTTAAAAAACGAAATTTGAAATTATAGTTGGAAAAAGAAAAAGAAAAGACAAAGAGTAAGATGCGAGAGAGCACGACTCGTTTTTAAAAGATCGAGAAGCGTTACCGTGAAGCGCGAATATGCGCGAGCTTTGACTGAGTTATCTCATTCGCATACCGTCAAGAATCGAGCTCCTGATCAGGGTAGCGATCATGAATCTTTCATTATAATTATTCCGTACATGCCAGTGAGTGTATAATAATTAATTTACATATTTACATATAAATTGTTTAATTTATTGTTATTTGCAGTTATTTATATTTTGTGGAACTAATTATATAGTTTTATATAATAGGGCAAAGAGAGGGAATTGGTGTTAAAATAACTTTTGATATATAAAATTTTCACCTGTATCAATAATAAATATATTTATGCGAAGTATATTTTATTCTTAAGTTTGTATTCATGTTTCTAAAATCCATATATAGTTCTAACAAACTCAATCGCATTATTTGAAAGCCATATATTTTTGGATTTTGAATTACATATTTGAAAGTGCGCTTTACTTACATTTGAAGCTCAGTTCCCTAACAGCACGCGACATACTGCGAATCATCCCATTTTCGTACTCATTGTACTGCGATCATCTGTAAGTTGAACGCTAGAACGTCACTTATAGTATTATTCGGTTTTCTTTCGCGCGCAGATTTCACTCAGGGATACGGAAATGATACGTACGCTTTTCTATCGCGTGCGTACATTCTCAGGTTTGACTGAAATGATACGTACGCATTTGTATCGCACGCGTATTTCTCATGTACCGACTCAAGATACGGAAACAGT